CGTCGCCAGCGCGGCAGCCGTAGCCCTAGTCACGCTCTTTTCATCCGCTCTGCGCTTCGGCCTGCTCTCGGTGAAGGAGTCCGCGCAACCCCGTAGATTGGCAGCGTCGGTGTCAAGGGAGCGACTGCGGAGAGGCTCTAAGCTGTAGATGTTAACTGAGTGTCAGGGGGAGGGGGGGGAACCAACCCTTCTCTGCTTAAGACCGAAGCTGGTAATTCTTTTTCAGCTGAGAAATCAGGGATGAAAGACTTGAAAAGAAAACACAAAGAAAGGACTATACTTCATATGACCTAGTAGCAGTAATCACCTGAAAATACTGTAGTTGTGGCTCTTTTCTTTTCCGGTTTCCTGAGGTTAGTCTGTGAAGTCTGATCTGCAAGCAGAGCCTTTGTTTTAGGGTGTTTTTTACTCTCGAGGTGGTAAGAATACACAGAGATGGTGAAAGATAACCATGCCAAGCTGCACTTCTGGTCTGTCATTAGTTGCACACTTAAATAGGAAAATTTTATGACCAAAAGTTAAGGATGTTTTGTAGCTATTATGTTGTGACTTGGAAATAGAAAACATGAAGAAATACTTGTAAAACAAGCTGCTTAACCACAGCACCTGTCCTTTCTTTCCTGGTCTTGATATTAATATTCAGTGAAAGCTTCCCAGCTACGTTAACCTAACTTTCCTTAGGCTATGCGATATGGTGTCACAGAGCCTCAAAGCTAGAGAGAATCTAGTGCTCAAAACAAAGGTTCAAAAAAACAGTAGGTTTCACACACGTGCTGTGAAGCACTGGAGGCCCCGGCGTCCCATGAGAAAAGCTTATTAGTTCACAGTCTCAGTCCCTCTCCTGTTTAACTGCAGGTTCTTTGCTTTTCATATCTCGTCACTTTTTGAAATTTCTTTCTTCTTGCAAAGAAGAAGAAAAGCTTTATGGTACAGTCCAAGTTCAAAAATTTCTGTTGCTTTTACTTTTAGATAATTGGTTACCATCTATATGTTAGGCAAGCCTTTTGGGGGTATTAGGTTCTAAAGGTAATTACACAGAGTCGGTTTGCATGTTTTTTGCCTGGGCTGATGGTGATATTCAGGTTAAAAATGTTGCCTGTGATATTAGGGTCTTTGGTCCTTTCAGAACCTTCTGAGTGGTGTGAGGGTTTTTTTTGTTTTTGTTTTCTTTTTCTCTCCTCTAACAATACCTGTGAACTTGTATTAAGTACAGGTTGATTACAGAGCTTGCTAACTGGCTGTTCTACCTCTAGAGTCACCTGTTACGTAGATCCAATTGCACACAGCTGAGTATCTATGAGGGACTGAAATCCTTTGGCCTTCAGACTGCTCCTAGGCCGTTCATCACTGTGGTTTAACTCACTATTTACAGTTTAACTCACTATTTACAGTTTAAAGTGACAATATTGATTCCCAGGCAGAACTGGGTGCCAAGTTATCATAGGTGTGCCATTCGCTGGCATCTGTAGTAGTTGTGTCCATCCAGATATCGAAGCCCTTTTTGAGACAGGCAGGAGTAATATATGCCCTGTAACACTCAGGAAGTTCACCAGACAAAAAAGCTTTGTTTTCAGAGGTGTTTATTTCCTGTGGTGGTTGACCTTGACCTTGTTCTAGAACCCTGTGCTGTGAAACTAGGACTGCTGTTTCTTTTGACTTCATCTGTTGAGACTTCTAGTCTTTTCTAGTGAAAAAAACTTCTCTCTCTTAAAAGTAGCAAAGAGAGGAACACTTAAAATGAACCTTTAAGATGCTGTGAAATAGATGCATCTTCTACAACGGTAGTTCAAAGACATCTTGATTTTGCTCAGATAAAAGCTTGGTAGTCAGGCTTGAGAAAACCGCATAGCGTTGTTCAGGATGAGGTATCTGTGGTTACGGTTGCAGCACTCTGAACAGGGACTTTGCACTGAAACATACTTCTCCTTGCAGGCAGTTCCAAGGCTGCGTCCTTGCACTGGACAGGTGAGCGAGCTGTCAGTGTCCTCTTGCTGGGCCTCCTTCCTGCAGCCTATCTGTATCCTGGACCAGCCGTGGACTATTCACTGGCTGCAGCCCTCACTCTCCATGGTCACTGGTAAGCACAGTAGGTCCCTCAGCATCAAAAATAAAATCCCATAGTCACAATGGGTCCAAGCCTTAGGCTGAAGTCCTGGCTTAACTCTGTATAGGGCAGTAAATCTATTGATTGATTTCCTCATTACTGTGAAATGCCTAGAAAGTGCACAAGCAAAATCCTCAGTCTCCAAGTTCTGGTGGCCGTCATCATCTTGGACAAGATTAGCTGTACCTTGGGTCTTTCTCTTTCACACTGTTCTTTCAGTGGCAAGCAGGATAGATGCTACTATTAAAGCATCTGTGAACTTATCATTCTGTAGTATTCTTCTCCAGTCTGCATCTTGTGCTTTGCAGGTATTACAGTATCTTACATTAGGAGGCCATCCGTGCTAGTAGCTGGGGTTTTTTTTCTTTCTTTCTTTCTTTCTTTCTTTCCTCACTATGCTTTACCACATAAGATCTGAGCATGCCCTTAAAGTTGTATCAATCTAGAGTCTTGCAGTATTTTTATCCTGGAGAAGAATTAGCATTGTGTGAACACAGGAGAACAGAAACAACACAGAGCTGTATATAACAAGTCGTTTTTTTCAATCTTCTTTGGGCTCCCTTTGTACATCTTAATGGCGATGAGATTCTGCATAATGAAGAGATCAACAAACCTTGTACTAAAGAAGCTGAGACCGTGGTCATTAATTTCTTGTGATTCCTAAGAAACAGATACCTGCTGCTGTTCTTCCTCTTAAGTGTAGTTCTGCTATGGCTTTTCATGTACGTAGACTAGACTAGTCTTTCTTTCTGTTATGAGTCTAGTTAGGATTTGCCCAGCTACGTGATTGGCCTAACTGGCAGTGTTTGCATTCTTGAGATGATCTTGGTCCATAGTTCCTTGTGGCAGGGATAAAGCAGATAATCAACTGAAATGTATTTTGGCGCACAAGGTTTTCTTGAATCTGAATTTTGCTCTTTCCAAGTTGTACCAAGCATTCTTGCGCTTGGCTCGTTGTTCCTGGGGGTTTCTTCCCAAAGCCCTCAAATTTAGTACAGAATTCATCTGAAATGTAGCTATCCTTGAAAATATCTAGCAGAGCTCTTTCAAAAATAAAATAAATAAAGCTAAGCTTACCTGCCTTTGAAGCATTTCTCCACTTGTTCGTTATATGCACTTCAGTGTCATACTGAATAAGAATGCATGGGGAAGTTCCAGGCAATGGAAAAGGTTACTGCAGGTTCACGTGTTGCAATGAGTTGCCTGGAGCACGTTTTGTGTTGATGCGTGCAAATTTGTTCTCCAGTGAATGTCTCTGTTGACATACATTCATTATTCATAGTGGAAATCCTGTTTCTGTAAGCAGTGTGGGAATTTCCCTCACGTGAAAAATGTCTTGCTGCTTCTGTAAGATGCTTCTGGTAGCTCTCATCAGAGTGAATCCATCCCTCGATGTGTGTGGGTTCTTCGTTGTTTCTGAAGCTGGAAATTTTCTCCAGTATTCAACTCTTGATTTGCAAAGCATGGGCTTAAAAAGCTGAAGTGTTCCTACATAGAGAAGTTCTCTTCTGGTGCTTTCACATATATTTGGTGCTAGAATACCTTTAAGAGGAAAAAAGATCATTAGTTTGACATAAAAGATCACTTGATCAGACAATTCATGTTGACAGCTGATAAGAAACTGCAGAACCTTCATATATTTTCTGTTTTTCATTGTTCTGACTTGGCAGTAAAGAGTGTCATAAAATCCAGGAATCTGACCCTATGCAGCACCTTTTGCTATATGTTTTTCCTCAGGAACGGTTGTCCCAAAATATGTTGGAAACACTGCCTCAGCTGGTCTAGTGACAGCTTAGAGTTTGGACTGACAATCACTTAACTTTCCCTAGAAACCTAAAGCCCTGTCAATCTTGCGCCTTTTTCACTGGCACGTAATAAAGACTTCTCTGCCCAGTGGAGCTGCCGTGCTGTAAGCTGTGTTGTGGGTCTGTTACACACCAGCTCTTTCCCGCTCATTCCTTTGTTCTTGGGGCCACTTGTCTCTTCTCCTGAGGACTTTGTTTGGAATAATTATTATGCTGTTAAGTCACGGGCCAATTTTTCCATTTGAGTACTCTTAACGTGGCTCGGTTTCTTTCTGCCATGCAAAGCAAACACCTGATGAAAATCCTTCACCGATGCTCCGGTCAAAAGGGCAGCCTGTGAATCCCAAGTTGCCTGATCTGTCTGTGCCTAGGACAGTTCAGAGTGCAGGTAGGGGCTGCTTGCACCGCTCGCGTTTCGCTGTCCAGTCCAAGTTGATAGCTCTGACAGTTTGAGAGTAGTTGCCTTCTAGATTACATCTGCTTTATGCTTCTCTTCTGTGTGTCTAGCGGTTACTTGTTCCCCTTTTCTTGCTTTTGGCATCTTTGGGTATCGATCCCCTCTAAGCAAAAATGAGCTTAGTGTTCACTTCCAGTGGCATCTGCTGCAGCGCTTGGAACGTTGCTAGGTCACTAGCTTGTCTTCTCATTTGTGGTGGACAGATCCTTCAGTTCCAGACTAGACAAAAGGCAAAATTCTAGAAAGCAAATCACTGCATTAAATATACTTCTCTCTTTGGCAGGGTGACATCTGTCACTGCAGAAGGCAAATATCGTAGTGCTTTTTTGGAAGAGAACTACCACATCGCTTTAGTAACATCCCTTGTCTTTCTATTGCAGGACAGATTGAATGTGGAACAGAGTTGGCTTCTAGTGTGTCAGATGTAGGAAAAACCCTATGTATGCTAATTTTTGTTGTTGCTGCTATTTTATAATGTCAACTTGCATCCTGGCATCTTTTCTGTGTTTGTGCCAAAGGCTGGTCCAAGTGCCACACCTTGCTGTTCAAGCAAGAAGCATATTCCCTGTGGTTTCTCTTCTTCTGTCCTTGGAAGTCAGATTAGCTGCCCACTGTTTCTTGGAAGCAAATTATACTGTTTGAAAGAGCTGTGCTCAACACCTTGTTTTCTCAATATCATTAAGAAAACTCTGAGCCTATATATATATATATTTATTTATTAAAGTAGAATGCATACGGAATGACTTTCGAAGCGCATTCATCTGCTTTTTTAGTGGAAGCTATTCCCTGTAGGAAAGGGTGATGGGGGCGTGAAAGAAATGACGCGATTGAACTGACTTGCACCAGTAGCGCAGAGAACAGTATTGGCCATCAGTTACAGTAGAAAGCTCATATAAGCCAGGTGGATTTTAGTGAGGAATGCTCTTCTCTGATTTTAGCTTGTTTCTCTCTCTCCCTCTCTTATTCTTTAGGGGTCTTGGACAGGTTATAACTGACTACGTCCATGGAGAGCTACCCATTAAACTGGCCAATACAGGTCTGTATGTACTCTCAGCCGTTACCTTCGCTGGCCTCTGCTACTTTAACTATCACGATGTCGGTATCTGCAAGGCTGTGGCCATGCTGTGGAGCCTCTAAGATGCAATCAAGTCCCTGACGAACATGATGATTCACTGCTGCCTCTGCTTCATCATATTTTTATCGAGATGTTTGATGCAGGAGAAATGATTAACAAAGGGTCCATAGTATGTACATACCACAGTAGCAAACGCAGAACTAGTCTTTTAGAAATCAGTTTTCATCATTTCTTTGGTTTATTGCAACAGCAGTAAAATGTTGGAAGAGAAGTAGATTTAAAGTGAATTCCGTCCAGGCAAGAGTGAGTTTGTTTAAGCTGAATTGTAAATTGGGAGGAGTTAGTTACATCAATAACAGACTTACACAGCTGAAGATAACTTGCCTTTTAACATCAGTTTGGATTGTTGTTGCTCCTCTTCCCCCCGCTGCCCCTCCCCCCCCATCCAACGGCTTCCTATTCTGTAAAACAAATTTGACCTGGGGAAAGTTAAGCTGTTATACCTGACATTACAACAACTGAACTGTGCGTAAGGCACTCTCTGTAACTTTTCGGGCCCTAAGAGTTGATGTAGAAAAAGGAATACTTTTTTCTTAATCCATACAATAAAGAATTTACAGAAACTGGGTGTGTGTGATTCTGATTCATTTTTTTTTCATAGTTTTGGGTTAGTTAAAATGTTTTCCCTGCAGATAATGTTTCTTTCTAAAATCAAGCTCAAGGACTAATTCATATTGTTACAGCTCTACATTACTTTGTGCAGATGTGTTAAACAAAAAATACTTTTTAGGAATATGCATTGCCCTTAAGACAATACCTGACTTAGACTTGACTCAAGACTGTTGTCCCTAAGAAAACAATAATTGTCTTAGAAGAAAAGGAATTTTCCAGATTAAATTTAGGAGCCATAAATAGCATATGGCTTTCATAGCTTCCCTGGAACCTGTATGGAACCTTCCCTGGAACCACAACAACTTCTTTGTAGTAAAGAAAATCTGGCAGTGTACCCTTTCACTGCTTGTCTTCAGTATTTTCTGTATGACTGAAGAGATTCAAACTGATGTTATGCACTCTTTTTGAAGAGGAAAAAAAAAAAGCACTCTTTTGGAAAATTCTTTAATTAGTGATTACAAATATCATTCTGAAGATGCCCCTTTATTGCATCAATACTAATATAGCTGTGGTGATCTCTCTCTGATGCTGTGATGGATGCAGTTTCCCAGTGCTTTGCTATTTATATATTTTTATAATCTAAATTTCCACTCAATACAACTCTCTTATTTTATAGATTTATGCTTGTTTATATAGTACTCAATACCACATCGAAATGATCGAATGAGCCACTGATGACCAGCAAATCAGAGAGCAGTTAACACCAGGCCAGTGCTTAAAACACACTTTGTATTTTGTAGCTTTTCTTTGTTTAAAAGCAGGTAGATGGTATTTTTTGAATTCCTGAGGCTGAAGTCTGGCAGACTTGATTATGACCAGAATAAAAGGTGGTACGATTATTGAAAGTCTTCACAAAACAGCGTTTTTTAAGTGGGAAATAGTTTTAAAATTATTTGCTATATTTTGACACTGTAAATAAAGGCATACGTGTTTTAGCTGTCACAGTGTCTTTCAGTGGTTGTATAGTGTTACTCATACAAAGGTGTTAACAGTTGCATCATGTTCTAGATTAAACACCTGCTCTAGCTTTAACATTTTATGATGGCCAGAGTGAAGCTGTTTGTTTTCTAAGTAAACGCTGCTACTCTTTTTCCTATGTGACTTCAAAGACAGCAAAGGTAGCCTTTCTCTCATAGCTTCTCTGGAAAAGAATGCTGTCTCTGTTTCAACTTCTTTAGGTTTCATAGCATTTTAGGGGGGAAAAAAGGAACTTTTTTTTTTTTTTTAAACTTCCTTCACTTCTTTATCTTTTCTGACTTGCCCAGTAATAAGCATTGGTTAACTGTTTCCAAAGTTTAGTGGTACTTTTGTGGTACTATTAATGGTAAGAGGAAGAGAATTGCTGCGTTTCCATCAGTCTAACTGTGCAACAGACAGAAAGAATAAGCTGCTGCCTGAATTCTACCAAATCAATGTCCTGATTTGATGTTAAAATCTAAGTTTTTATTTTAAAAAAAAAATCTGTATTTCATGGAAAAATTTTGTTCTTACTCATGTAACTGTGAGAAATGCTGCGTAACTGGCCGCTTTTGCTTTGCTAAACTTGATATAAGAATTGAGATGGTTGCTTCTGTCTGATGTGGTTTGATTTAGATACCAATGTAACAATCATTATTTCGGTACAGCAAGGAGGATGCATCCGTATGACTCATTTGTAGATTCCTCTGTAGAATTTGAGTATGTATCATAGAAAGTGTTTGGCATTTCCTGTTTGAAACCGACTGTGAGATGCAATTTTTTAATTTTGGTATGTGGTAAGTGTTTAAGATACCTTGGGTAAGGAATGAGTTAGTGAAAGCTCTGGGAATGTAGTAGGCCAGAGGTACTGTGTTAGGGACTAGCAGGTCTGAGACCAATTCTTTGCATTTTTGAGGCAAAAATGAAAAGGTAACGACCAGAGCTTTCTCTATGAATAGAATGTGTTCCTCGGTCCTCTTGAAACTGAATCAGTTGCTCTTAATTATCATTAATTTTTGTTCTGAATTTTTGTGGTGGGTGTTAACCATTTGGTCTAATGCTATTTTATGAACGTTCGTCAAGCCTCTTGAGCTGGGACTGAGCTCTGCTGGGTTATCTGGATATCTTAAATATATTCTGGAGTTTACGCCCCTCTAGTGAATTCTTCTTAAGCCACAGTACAGAATGGTAGCTGTACCTGATTCTAGGTAACCACCTTCTAATTGCGATTAGCAGCTAGGTAGGTGAAACCCTAGGGGCAGCATAACATGGAAGTTGAGGCACTCAGGGTTATCACAGCAGTTTCTCGTCTCTTAACTTCTGTGCTTTTATAAAGCTCTGTGTGTGGGGGGGGTTTTTTGTTTTTTTGTTTTTAAATGAAAACAAGCCTTGAGACTTCGCTATTCTGCAAGTTTAAGGACTTTCCTCTGTTTAAGGAGAGAGGCCCTCCTGTTCTCCTCAGCCATTTCTGCCTGTGTGGAGTATGACAACCGTGCCCTCTTTTTAACCGTTCTGCTTGGCAAGCTGAAGACCCCGGGACTCCAGCTAGTGATAATCTGAACATGGGTTGCAGCTGGAGTTGGCTCAGTAGAAAAGAATCAAAACCTGTGTTACATGTAGAAAAGAATAATACATGTCTTATCAGTTTCCTCATGGATTAAATAGAATACGTTACAACAGTCTTGTTCTTGGTGAAGTCCAGCGTTTGTTCAGCTGCATGCAGAAAACAGGGTTCACAGCTTGACCCTGGTATATGCTGTATCGTTACATACATAACATGAGATAGGCTCTTTGTGGGAGCCAGCCATAGCTAACAGCATATTAAGACGACAAATGTCTATTTCATTTAGTCACTAATTTGCAGTTAACTGTTACGTGTTAAAAAGTTTACATAAAAGCATGAAGATTTTTTTCCTAGAAGGCTGAGGACAAACAGCTTTATTAGGACTTCAGTTGTTTAGAGATGTTATTAGTTTTCTCAGTAAAGATTCCTGTAAGTTTCCAGTACAAATTCTACTTCCGTTGAAGGTGAGAATGTCACTTGTACGACTGAGATTGGTGAAGACACTCAGGAAATCATCCTGAAGCAGAGAAGCCGTTCTTGAGTGTTTATGGCCCAAGTGCATGGTCTGCTTATGAAATCAGGTTTTCTAAGGATTTGTATGTTGTGGATTCTTCAGGTCTCTGGGTTTTGGTTAGCTATAACTCTCTTTCGGGAAGAGGGGAGGGCTTAAATAAGAGCATACTTTTTCTTCCTCCCCTTAACAGGTCTAATTCATATGTGAAAAATACCTACGTTTGAACAGCAGACACTAAAGGGGTTAGGGACGAGACTATAGAGGACTACAGAGGCGTGCGTGCTCTTGTGTCTTCATTATATAGTTCTCCTACTATCTGACTAGAAATCGTTCCTCTCCTGGTTCTTTCCCCCGATAAATTTAATTTGTTTTCCTCTGTAAGATGCTATTTTTTGCACTGACTTGTGGTAGCAAGCTAAAAATACAAAACTAGCTTGCCTCAGATGAAGAAAGAATAAAATTTATTTTTTTTAAGCCAGAAAACATATTGTAAGACTATCCAAGTATGTCACAGGTTATGAGTTTCATATTGACTTAATCTAGAAACTTCATGGTTTCATCCACTTCATCTTCACTTGACATTTTCTTTAAAATTAATTTTCTTAAGGAGCCTTCTTTCTCAAAGGCCAAGAACATTCCTTGTTCTAGTGAATATTCAAACTTAAATGCTTTGGAGCTACAAGATGTAAACATCTTTTTGAAAAAGATGAAGTTACTTTCTCCAGGAATTTCTGTGGGAACTTCTCCTTCCTGAGGAAGAAAAAGGAAATGGGTTATTGCTGGCCTAAGACGTCAGAAGTTTCATTTTGGCTCACAGATGTTTGAAATCTTAATTTTGCTTGCTACTTATACATATAAAAGGTATGGAAAGCAGATGCGAGATACTTACGCGAAATCGAACAATCGTTTTCCCAAGTTCTTTCTCACAACACATGTAGTAATTCTTGTCTTCTATCTGGATGCTGAATGCAACAGGCATCCCTGCTGAAGGCGTGGTAGTTTTGTAACAGTGAATGTTGAAGTGCATTCCACTGCCTAAATAGAAATCATTTATCGTTAACAGTCTGCTCAGAAGAAGAGAGCTGGAACAACTTAACCCTATTTATGTATTTTACTATTGCACTGGCAACTGCTGCCTTCCCAGGACACTTTTTCTGACAGGACAGCCAGCACTTGTAATTTTTATGACTGCTGGTAGCAGGTATTTGACCTTAGGTCAACGTTCAATAACTAAGAGTTTGATGAACTTACCAATTACTGTGGGATGGATGTTCACATCATTCTGTGTGCATGCACAAAGTGAGAATTGGATTTGTAAAGAGTAATCTGTAAATCAGGTCACATCTGTGATCTGTAAATGAATGTGTTCTATAAATAGGGTCCTGAATGAATTACTGGGGCCAAACAAAAGAAGCAAAAACAAAACCATAAGAACAATGTTAGCTCCTGCTGTTAGAAGAAAGTAAGTTTTTGGTGCTAAATGCATTGTCTGTGCTTGTTTAAACCTGCAACACAAAAAAGAGACTAAGAACCTAGTTTACGTTCACAGCTAACCAGAAATCTTAGCAGCCCTTTCCAGCGTGGGGCGTCCTGCAGGTGTCAGGCCTGCTTGAAGTGCAGGGAACTCTGTGAGAACTTCTGATTTGGCTCCTGCCGCAAAAGGCATTTGCGCTCTTATCGATGCACACAATGGGCAAAATTTCAGCTGTTTTAGCTTAGCTTTACTCTTAGCCAGTGGTAAGAGCAAGCTACAGCTGAAGCTTTAAGTCTGGACTCTTCACTGTCAGTCATGCCCTTTACACTGGGTGATTACAAAGAACAAAAGCGCATCTGAAATAAAGGGATGTCACAATGGTTATAGTAAGGGATTGAAAAACAGTGTACCAGAATTCATCTCCTGATCTGTCACATCTTCAAAAGCTGCCACGTTTAAATCTGGTTGAACCACAAGCAACTGTCTATTTACATTTCGAAAGACTCGTTGTTTGAGAATTTTTTCCGTACATAAGGCATCACATTCCAGCTCTGCAGAAATATTAAGCAAAGAGGATCAAGTGGTTTAGCTGTAGTCTTCCCTGCTCTTAGCAGCTCACTACGGGCTTTGTTTTGCCATTAAAGACATCAGGTGAAGTAATTTCTTGGAATGGCAGTCTCAAACACAATGGAGGCCTCATCATTCTTCCCCCCTGTAGCTTTTAGCGACCCAGTCAAAGATACAAGGATTTTCCAGGACACAAGCAAATTTGCAGAAAAAGCAAGAGAGGCTACTAAGTGTGCTAATGAAAGTACAGCTGCCAACGAGTCTCTCTCCTGCGCAACAATTACACTTGCATGATGAGGTCTTTGTATGAGGGAAGCTACTCCCCTATACCTTAGGAGGAAACAAGGCACCATCAACATCAGAGGAAGGTGAGCTGCAACTCTTTTTCATACTAGCCATCAACCAGTTTGAAACCCTATTGGTACACCCTAAGGTACACAAAGCATTTGTGGGTTAGTAAGCCTGAGCAGCTTAGTTCAGATTAAACCGTGACAAACTTTCAACTTACCATCATCGTCTTCGTTCCAAATGGGCAATGAAAAAAAAAAAAAAAAAAAAAGACAAGAGGAGAAAAAACCATTAAGTTCTGCCCCCACAGAAGAGACCACTTTTTAACCAGTTCTGTTATACAAGATTGGGAGCCAGCCAGCCAGCCACCTACCCATTTCCGGTTCTCCCCAGTAATCACTAACCCACCAGCTGAGCTGCTCTAACTACGGAGTGTGTTTTAGTTGTGAGCATAACAACCTCAACAAGATGATGAAACCACCAGTCATTTGAAAACTTGAGTTACCACTAAACCCAGAGGCATGCAAAATGTTTTCGGGTTACTTAAGGGTGAGCAGCTTGGTTCAGGTTAAGCCTATAACCAAGGAATAACATGCAACATGCTGCTTGCATTGGCCCCGTTGTTCTCAACGAGCAAAAGGACCGTTACAAACTGCCTCCGAAGAAAAGACCATTTTCTAACCAATTTTATCCTGCAAAATCGGAAGTTAGCCACCCCTTTCCAACTCCACTCCTTCTGGGCGTCCTTTACCTGAATATACCGCATAAAGTAATAAAGATCCCACTGACTGAGGTACTGTGCCTACAGTACCCCAAACTGAGGCTTACGGGAAAATCAGTGTGACATCAGAGTGATAAAAAAATTGTTTTTAATAATTATTCAAGCAGCTAAAGGCAGCAAAAGCTTAAGGTGTTCAGCAGTAATATGACACTACTGACCTATTAACACACGGGGACCGCTGTCTCAGACTCAGATCCCCGTTGCACTGAACAGCCCAGCTCCGTAATTTAGGAACTATCACTCTTCCAACTAGGTGGGGGTTGTCATTGCTTTCAGGATTGCTCAGGTAATACGGGGGCAAAAACAGGGTGCCACAAAAAACATGAGCGCCAGCCCAAGGACAGGACTGAACTGCGTAGCAGCTTTTGCTCTTCTAAGAGGAATTCAGACCCTGTATGTCTCTTTCAGCAAGAGGTAATAATTACCTGCAAAATAGAGGCAGAAGTTCTTCCCAAGTTTTACTGCACACACAGGAATCTCTTCACCGCTCATCTTCACTCTGCCAAAAACACACGGAGAGGATTCAGAGAGTCTGCTTTTCTGTTGCCATTTGTCACTGAAGGATGCTGTATCTTATTATAAGCAAATTCTGTTATTTCATTAAACTTTACATTGACTTATGTGATGTTACAGGGGAATAAAGAATCTGGTCTGCAGGCCTTTTTTTGCTGAATAAATGATAGTTCTGTGTAGACCACTATAATAACTCATTACCATTTTCTGTTTCTGTGAGAATGCTAATAGGTAGATCCACAAACACCTTTCATCAAGCAAGCTCTCCCTTCCCTTGGGCCTGCAAAAGTTATCCTACTATCACCTGGTCATTTGATTTTCTAATTTTCCTGTAGGGAAGTGACTTAGAATGGCTTAAGCACCCTTTTTCTGGCCATCAAGGCATAAAAGCTACTCATCTTTTCAGACTCCACAGACTGTTCTTTTCAGGTTCCTTCTATAAAAAAAGAGTGAGCTTCCAAAATACCTCAAACTTAGTCCTGCTTCGACTGCCCCCTACGAAGGCCTATATCTTTCCATCGATGAAAAAGACAGTCTAAAGAGACTAAACTTCTTGCTCAGGAAGTGAGCCTTTCAAGTGCATCTAGAGCTGGACTTGTGTAGGCTCCTAGAGAAGCTGGGATATAGCTTATTTTGCACTAGCAGTGATTTGCTTGGTTTTTAGCCTTATTCCAATCCAGGTTGAATTCTGAGCTTGACTTCAAAGCTACTCGCTTTCAGGGGTGACACAGAGCAAAGTGAAGAAGATGAGGTCTACTTCCCCGCAGGCTAACAAATGCCATTTACCAAAAAGCTGCCGTCCTCCAGCCTGGACTGATCTTTAACGACCAGCCAGCCTGGGCACCGCCGAGGTTCCTGTCCCCGAAGGGCTCAGGCAGAACCAGCCCAGGGCTGCCCTCTGGCTCTCAGATGTCACTACAGGACCCCCTCCAGGACCTGAGAGAGACCCAAGAATAATTGGTTTTAGCTTTGTTTACATCCTCAGCCTCACGCACAACAGCCAGACAAGGAGACTTCCGCTTCTTTCACTTCCTAACGTAGTGACTGAGAGCTATTAACGTATGAAACAAAAGAACCGTGATGGCCATAAACCTGCGGTACCCATTCCATTTACCTGAAACTGCCCCCCTCCCTTTTCTTCCATCTTCAAATTTCTGTCTGTGCGTGCAGCAAAGAGATACATCTAAGTGGACTGTGTTGCTCTGCAGGCCACCAACATCTCTGCATCTTCAATTCTAAGCAGCGTGCCAAGGACAAAAAAAAAAAAATTCTGAAAAGTGACGTGGCGTCACCTGTCCTGGGAATAATTTTACTGCTTTTGGGACTGTTGTCACTGGAGGCAATGATTCTAAGAACTAAACCCTCAGAAATTTGTGTTTGAAAAGTGATGATGAAAATACCCTTTTCAGAATTAGAACAGCATTTGCTATCTTTAAAGGAAAGGGGGAATAAAAATAAAGAAAAGCATTATATAACTAAGGAAGACGTAGCAAAGACAGTTCTACTCTTCCTCTTCTCCATCAGCACACACTGCTTTCAAAGGTCCTCTTCTATGCCACTTCATGTTGTGAAATGCAGGTTGTCACCTTCCTTCCTGTTTCCTTTTGGTCTGTATCTTAGTACTTTTGGTCATTTTCCTAAAATGCTGTCTCTCTCTCAATGTTCCTAGGCATTTTATTTATGTTTTAATAAATAAAGGCATCTTACCTTCAGAAAATAACAACAAGCTGTCCTTGATATCACTGTAATATCTTTAATATTACTTGGCTTTGTGAAAGGCTTAACATTTTTGGCCATATACACAAAATAGCATTTTCAGTGCCATTCACCATCGCAGCATTTAAGCTTTAGGAGCCCAGCATCTGTAGGAAATCTTCCGCCTGGAGCTAGGTGCCTAGCCTCTGCGCACAATACCCGAGAGGAGCCAATCAGAGCAGAACGTAGCCCGCCAAAACATGTTAGCCAGGCAGCATCAAATAACAAAGCCGAGAACAGTCAATAGGAAATGCTGAAATTATTTAAATTAAACTGTGAGCTTGTCTCCTGGGGCACCCTCAGGCAGCGCAGAGCACAGAAGTCAGTGCGAACAACCCTATGAAGATGCGGACTGCTTTGCAAGTATATTTTGTTGAGAGAAAGAAAAATGTATTTGCTTCATCCGTCTATGTTATCTCTCTATGGTCTTCCTGTTTTTCACTTCTGAGCAGTGGTAATTTTGCCGTAGACAACTGTACAGCAGTTCAGACTATCAGTAACATTTAACCAAAGCGAGTAGCTCACCAGAACTACGTTCCTTAAACACGGTTTGTGAAGCTGACCGGAACAAATGGACAGATCATAGGCAGAAGGTATTATTTTATTTTGCCTTTCTGAATTAATAGCTGACATGCCATTTTTTGCTCTGTGATGACAAATATTTGTAATTGTAAGGCTAATTAACATGTAGGAGCCTTACAGGTTCTTCTCTAGGTGATTTTGACTGTTTAAAATAAATTACTCTTACTTATAGTTAAAGTCAAGCAGTTTGGGGCATCTGCGGAATATAAAGCGCTTCATTCAAATCGACTAACCCCTTCCAAAGCATTCTTTCCCTTGCACTAGCTGCAGGAATAATGTAAATAAATGCGTTACACCAAGGTAAACAAAAGGGAGAACTGGCTCTTGCACTGGCATTTCAAAGCTCTTTTTCACCACTTGAAAAAGAATTATTATATAAAACATAACCGAGCGATGTAAATAAGCAAGTAGCTTGCTTTGCTTGCCTTTTTTTTTTAAAGTAAAAAACCAAGGAAATAAATAAGCACATACATCAGCCTCGGGGGCTGGGCTGGGATAGTCACAGTGCCTCTCTTCCTTGTCCCTCTAGTCAAGCGCTCTGAGGAACTGATTTGGGAGCAAATTTCTGGCACCCTGGTTTTTACCCGGCCTGTGCCTCTAGCTGCTACAAGCGGGCTCACAGCAGAGGGCTGGCTCCTCGTTTCCACACACGCGTACCCGAGCCTTTGAAACGAACTCCTACAGCAGACGCTCGCTGCCTGCCTCCTGGGTCGAAAACTGGGTCAAGAGATCAAGGAAACTTTGAAAAAGTCCGAGGGGCAAAGGGAAGGCCCAAGGAGTCAGGGCAGACGCGGCCCCTGCTTAGGAGCCGAGTTTCCACCTGGGAGTTTTTACCGTGGCGCACGCTGCCTTAAGTGGTTTACGCGTGAAAACCTGCTAAATGACTGGACGTTTTCGAGCCTGCGGTGAGAGAGGGTCCGGTCTCCTGCCTCCAGCCC